TAATTTATTGAGAAGCAGCTGTATAAATATAATATTTTTAGATAGATTATTTATTTATTTTGTATTGTTTAAAATCCACTTGGCCCAAAAATCTAAGGGAAAAGGTTGATTGGACATTGCTTCTAGTCTCACACAGAGAAGTATTGACTATCCCAGTGTTTTCTCAATTGAGAGGGGCCACGTCCAGTAAGGCTCGATTCAGTTTCAATGTGGTTGAGTCATTTCAAAATTTGCCTCATAGATATTACCCACCTAAATCCTTAACAAGAAGCCTCTCCAGCAGAGGTGCAGGGGATAGACAGATAAGGAGGGCTTGTTCCATGGATAAATGAAGAGCTGAATCTCTGTTCTTAGAGGTTATGTAACACGTGGACACTCTTTCAGCGGCTACTGTTTAGACTGCAGATCAGCCTCCTGCTGCATATGGACCCATTCAATAGTATCTGCGAGAGAGAGAGAGAGTGTGTGTGTTGCTTTGTGAGAAGCTGAGAATGGATGGATGGAGAGATGGATAGATTTACTGGTGGGGGGCATCGCAGCACCCCACTTACCTGCTTCCAGCTTCTTCCCTGCTGCTCCAGCCTGATTGAAAGCTGCTCAGCACTTCATTCTTTTCTCTCCCTCATTCTTTCCCCTCACCCAGCTCTCGTCTTTTCTCTCTCAGCCCTATGCCAATCTGACAGCAGCAATACAGCAGAGGAGAAGTCGATCATGGTGTGTTGTGTGTTGCATAACCACACTTCTGGCTTACTGTTCAAATTTCATTTCCTTTGAAACCTCTTGAATGTTATTAGTTATATGTAATCAGTACAGCTAGATAAGCCTGCTCTCAGACCAACGACTTCATAAGTGGCTGTTCCATCATACCCTCACAAAGGTACTTTGAAACTCTTGTTTTTGGTCCTTTTTGAGAACAGAGAAGGAAATTCATGTTTTCCTGCCCACTTTAAGATTATCCAGTTGCAGGAAAAAGTATGTGAACCATAGATTCTTCCATAAATTGGTCATAAAATGTTATGCCTTGTGGGATAGAAAGAGTGTGACCGTATCCAATCAAATTCACACAGTTATGTTGTGTTTTATGCAAAGTGAGTGCCAGACATTAGTAGTATAGAACCACAGCACAGAGCAAGTAACTGGTTTTCTCAACTGATGCACCTACATTTTCAAGAAAGAAAAAAAGTGCATTTTCTATGGATTTGTAACATTGGATTTCGTTTTATTAAAAAGTGAATATTAATATTAAACATATTATAATTATTCAATTGTATTTAAAAAAAATTTTTATTAAGCTCTGATAGCTCTGACTCCGGTTGACTCCTATTAAGTTTGTCAATAACCCAGGGCTCGATTTAGATACAAAATTAATTTACTTACACCAAGATATTCATGAAATAGTTAACAAGTTTGGGAATATTTCAAAAAGGTTGATTGGACATTGCTTCTAGTCTCACACAGAGAAGTATTGACTATCCCAGTGTTTTCTCAATTGAGAGGGGCCACGTCCAGTAAGGCTCGATTCAGTTTCAATGTGGTTGAGTCATTTCAAAATTTGCCTCATAGATATTACCCACCTAAATCCTTAACAAGAAGCCTCTCCAGCAGAGGTGCAGGGGATAGACAGATAAGGAGGGCTTGTTCCATGGATAAATGAAGAGCTGAATCTCTGTTCTTAGAGGTTATGTAACACGTGGACACTCTTTCAGCGGCTACTGTTTAGACTGCAGATCAGCCTCCTGCTGCATATGGACCCATTCAATAGTATCTGCGAGAGAGAGAGAGAGTGTGTGTGTTGCTTTGTGAGAAGCTGAGAATGGATGGATGGAGAGATGGATAGATTTACTGGTGGGGGGCATCGCAGCACCCCACTTACCTGCTTCCAGCTTCTTCCCTGCTGCTCCAGCCTGATTGAAAGCTGCTCAGCACTTCATTCTTTTCTCTCCCTCATTCTTTCCCCTCACCCAGCTCTCGTCTTTTCTCTCTCAGCCCTATGCCAATCTGACAGCAGCAATACAGCAGAGGAGAAGTCGATCATGGTGTGTTGTGTGTTGCATAACCACACTTCTGGCTTACTGTTCAAATTTCATTTCCTTTGAAACCTCTTGAATGTTATTAGTTATATGTAATCAGTACAGCTAGATAAGCCTGCTCTCAGACCAACGACTTCATAAGTGGCTGTTCCATCATACCCTCACAAAGGTACTTTGAAACTCTTGTTTTTGGTCCTTTTTGAGAACAGAGAAGGAAATTCATGTTTTCCTGCCCACTTTAAGATTATCCAGTTGCAGGAAAAAGTATGTGAACCATAGATTCTTCCATAAATTGGTCATAAAATGTTATGCCTTGTGGGATAGAAAGAGTGTGACCGTATCCAATCAAATTCACACAGTTATGTTGTGTTTTATGCAAAGTGAGTGCCAGACATTAGTAGTATAGAACCACAGCACAGAGCAAGTAACTGGTTTTCTCAACTGATGCACCTACATTTTCAAGAAAGAAAAAAAGTGCATTTTCTATGGATTTGTAACATTGGATTTCGTTTTATTAAAAAGTGAATATTAATATTAAACATATTATAATTATTCAATTGTATTTAAAAAAATTTTTTATTAAGCTCTGATAGCTCTGACTCCGGTTGACTCCTATTAAGTTTGTCAATAACCCAGGGCTCGATTTAGATACAAAATTTATTTACTTACACCAAGATATTCATGAAATAGTTAACAAGTTTGGGAATATTTCAAATTTAAAAAAGGAAAAATGAAATAAAACCAATAGGCCTACATCAGTTATACAGCACTATCGTGGCTGCTGTGTGCCGTTGACATTTTAATCATGTTACTTGTCCGGTCGGGCAAGGAAAATTCTCTTTCACTTGCCACACAAAATCCACTTGTCCCAGACAAGCAGACAAGTGTTAATGTCAAGCCCTGATTAACCTGTTCCATTTTTACTTGAAAACATGTTTAAGCAGACTGTGGTGTCTGTTATTGTGACTTGGTTGAAGATCAGATCAAATTTTATGAGTAATTTTAGCAGAAGTCCATTGTAAATCCACACACGTTTTTGTGCAAATGTAGGTGCATTCAGTTTGACAAAACCATTTATTTGCTCTTCTCTGTGGTTCTATACTCCTAAAATGGCTGGCACTCACTTTACACATGCATATAAAGCATGCACCATCACCGTGTGAATTAGATTGAATGTAGTCGCGCCCTTTCCATCCCATATGTCCAAAGTTTGTGATGCCTTGGCTTTTTCCTTTAGCCACAATCACACAAAAACCATGACTCTTTATGCAGCGCTGAATTCTGGACAATGCTGATACAGGCACACAGCTCTCAGACACACACCACTTCTCTGTCACTCATCTATGGCAGTCTCATGGCATTGCAACTGCCCTCTTTCCCACCTGACACCTTTAATTGTGACCCAATGTGTATTTTTTCCTTGTGCACCTTCCTGCTTTTCCACCCTCTTTTAGTTTTTCTGCTCACCATCGGCACCATAAAAATAAGGTAAATTAAAATAAGATGCTGTAGAATAAAATAGAAGAAAAAAAACACTCCTCATCTATATAGTGCTACAGTGATGATGTCATTTTTAGGCCAACCCAGAAGTTAGAGTAGCTTCTTCCTGGTTACCTCGACAAGAAGACTGATTTTTCCCATTGCCCTTTGGATTGCAGAAAATAAACTCTGTGATCAAACAAAAGTTTACAATTCTTACTCGTTTTATACATTATGATCTTCACAAATGAACACAACTTTTATGAATTTTGAAGCATAAATTCAGAAGTAAAAATCTAAACATAGGCTATAAATGAATGAGTTTACCTGTTTGGCATGATGATGTTTGATGTCCAACAACCTCTGCAGTCTCATTTAGCCACATTAAAAGAACGTTTTTCAAGACAATTAAAAGTTTTTTTCTGTTTTTGTTTTAAAATAAAACATAAAAATATCTTGAACTTGTGTTCACCACAGGCCTTATTTCAGGCATTTAACTGAAAATACATTTTAAAAAAAAGATTGACTTTCAGGACGATGGAACAGGAAGTGCTGAAATGCTAACTTGTTACCTGGTTTTGGCAGACAAAAATACGTCATCCCTGAAGCACTCTATTGAATGTTAATTTAGTCAAGTTTCAAATTAAAATGTGGCCCTGTTACTAATAGTTATTTGCAATTTTAATTGGTTTATAAAAAAACATGGAACTTTTTTATTTAATTTAATTTGTACTCTTTTATTTACATTTGTATTTAATTATATAATTTTATCTTTAAATGTTTTTAGTTAATCATTATCTTATTTTATAGCTAGCACACAGAGGTCTACAGCACAGTATGTGTAGTACATTGTTTCATTATTTACATTGTTTCATTATTTACATTGTTTGTTTATATTTATATGTAGTTTGGGAGCAGGCACCATGTGAGCCAGGACCGCCACTGGCTCCTAGACTCCTCCAGGTCATGAGTGGCATATACTTGTCATGGTATCCAGGCTGGAGTTGTCTCTGTACGGTGAGCCGCAGCTGTGTATGTATAGTGTCTAACCCTCAACTGCAGCTGATGTCTATACAGCCCTCCCTCAGGACTCACACACTGTCTCTGACACACATTCAGCCTCGGGGGCTTTCCGCTCGGTGCTCAACTCGCAGGCATCTTTCAGTTTCAGTTTGTTAGCCTTGAGTTACGGGTGATGTCAGTGTGCGTTCTGTGAGGATGTAAGGAAAGAATGTTATTGCAAAGAGCTTGTTTCATTGATTATTTACCTGCAGTGGGGACTCTGACACACAGTAGCATTTAGTTATTGTAAATGCACAGAGAACATCTCCGAACCATGGTTTCCTGCTCCGTTTAAGCATTTAGGTGCCTGGTGGGAACTATCTGTTTTCCAAAGGTATCACAACACAAATGAACACCTGGAGTCAGGCAGGAGAAGAAAGCGCAAAGTGCCCAGGGGGTTTACCGATCTTTGCATTTGTTCTCTAACAGGGACAACCCGACAGCTAATGAGAGTGGTGCCAAAACTGCCCGATCCAAAGCCTCCAGCCGCTTCCCAAGACTAGGCCGCAACTCAGGTCGTGAAACACGCAACCCGGAACCCCAGAGCGGTGACCTTTAACCTCTGAGCGTAATCCTCAGAACTCATCAGTATGGATGTACTGAGCCAAGGACCTTCTCTTCTATTATGGATGTACTGTACATAGCGCCACTGTTGGAGACTAGCTGGGTCTAGAAACGACGAACAAAATCAGCAAGAAAATGCGGCGTGAATCAGTTTAGTGGCAGAAGTTTCAGTTACTATTGTGCCTAGTGATTTATAACAGATGTTGTTTTGGGGAAAAGTCGGGATGTCATTTTGACTAACAGCAGTGACATGAAACTTTTATGAGACTGTGATGAGAATTGTGTGATTGTCTGGAAATAATTTGCACATCATCATATTGTTTGACACATGGGACTCAATTTTATCTTTCTGTTTGTATACATTTTGTTACCATGCTCTGCTATGTATGAGGCACAAAGTTAGATGTAATTTTATTATGACTGCGCTTATAATAGCTATACAAAACAATCACTTTTCACGTTCCTGCTCACAATAAACCCAAAAAACATATTTCAGATTTTAGGTGAACGTCCAGTGATGGTCAGAATGGGATGCGTTAGTCAGGTCTGGGCTCTCGCGCTCCACAGCCCTTGTCGTCTGTTCCTGAAAACCTTTCATTGGAAATTTCCCGGGCTGCCATTATCCTGTATGACCCCAAGAGTACTGTTACACAGAAACCGGCGCGGATGGGGCATTGTGTGGACTGAACAGAAGAGAATTTCGTTGCAGGGGAACCTCCACTGAGAGATAATTTTGCCCTATTTGAAATACAAGCACAATAATGATTGGGATTCATTACTAATAAGTAGTATTTATGGTTTTAACATGTTGTAATGTCAAAGAGAAGGAACCATGATGTGTTTAAATGAATAAATAGTCTGCTATCAAACTGAATGTGATGTAGAATTGCCATCAGATTCTGTTCAGCTGTAACACATATAGTAGCAGATCTGTTGTGTGCTTTGCATATTTGTCTGTTTGCAACCTTTTGTACTAGTAAGCAACTGTATATGATGGTTTTTCTTAAACAGTGTATCTTATGTCCTAAACGTGACAGGACGCAGCTGTTTTGCAGCCTTAAGAATACATGAGCTTAATGAATACATAAATAAATACAAGTTCCAGCACACAATCTGTTTTTGTGTCAGATTTGTAAGGTAACTTGAGATTAGCACAATGATGCAGGACTGCTTTTGCCCCATTTCGAGTAAAGAAAATAAGCGTTTTAAAGACTCAATGTACTTTTAAAAAATATAAATTAAAATCAACAATGGCTGCTTGTGAGCTGTGTTGCCATGGTAACTTGAAACAAAATAAATGGGTTGTCTCTAATTGTTGGTCCTTTCTGTCACCTTAAGTGATACAAAGTGTCTGTCACATGTGGGTTTAATTCCAAAAATTGGTGCTTGCAAGGCAGCAAAAGAATAGTGTTAGGAAGAGTTTACCCAAAAATGAAAATTCTGTCATCATTTACTCACCTTCAATTTGTTCCAAACCTGTACGAGTTTCTTTCTTCTGTTGAACACAAAAGAAGCTATTTTGACAAATGTGGGTAACCATACAATTGCTGGTAGGCATTGACTTCCATATTTTTATTATAATTTTTTTCTATAATATGTAAGTCACTGGCTACCGTCAACTGTTTATTTCCCAGAATTCTTCAAAATACCTTCGGAAGAACTTGAGGGTGTTTTTTTGTGGCAAACTATCCATCTAAAATTTTAAGTGCGCTGTTAGGCTTTGATTCTGTGTAAATGAAATGCTGCATCAGAGGTTTGCTGTCATTATGCAAGAAATTGTGTCATCACAATTCAGTATGCAAACAGAACAGTGTATTCATATTTTGAACATTTTATCAATGCAAGTAACACTTTTATCTTAAATTAGGGATGCACCGATGCCACTTTTTCCAGTACTCACCCGATACCGATACTTTTATTTTTGGTACTTGCTGATACAGAGTACCGATACCAATATTTTCATTGCATTTGTAAATTTTTTAAATATTGGGTACAGAAACCAAAAGAGTATGTATAATGTTAGTTGGTTAACTTAATTTATCAAATAGATAGTCAAACCAAAATTTATCCAGACACCTTCAACATTTCTCACATTATCACAGTTTATTCGCTATAGTTTAGAAAATGGTAATAAAATATGACAAGAACTCAGAGTTAAACTGTGTCAGAACAAATTCAGCTTGATAATGTCAGATAACTTTGATAGAAAGGTATGTAATGGATTACAATAAACCAAAAATTATTCATACAGCTGTCAATATTTACACAACTATCAATACTTTGTCGGGTGACCCTTAGTCTTAATGACTGCCTGTATTCTCCTGGGCATGCTGTCAACCAGGTTCATGCAAACCTGAACTTAAATTGTTTCTCATACTCTGTCTGAATAATTTTTGGTAATCAATTTCACTGTTAGTCCACTGTATGAAGAATTTTTGGGTATAATATATCACAGTTTAGTTTATTTTGCTATCCTCACTTTACATAAATGAACTATAGTGTCCTACACCCACTAGTAAATATAAAAAATTATATCTGGTCTCTGAATAATTTTAGTTTGACTGTATATCCTTCTGTTATTTTCACACTTAATTATGCCCATTAAAATGTATTTTACAAGTTTTTGTTACATTCACTGTTTATTTTCTCTCTCTCTCTATGGTAGCCTACATCATCTTTAATTTAATAGCATTAGAGCTGCTCCATTGCAGTGGCGGCGGACTGTAATCACGCGCTTTGCTGTAAAAATGCAGGGAACCACTCGCTATAAATCTCCTAACTGTGATCTTTTCATAAATAGAAGTCACGTTTTTTTCATCTGAAACGTGCAGCGATTTATTTTCCAAAGCCACTCATATAATGCAGAAACATTCATGAAGCAAGCAAAACACGAGCAACACGCACACGTATTTGTACTGGAGCAGAATGAGAGGGACAAGTACAGTACAGCCTAGTGCATTTCACACAGGCTGTTAGTTTCACTTTCGCCAGAAAGTCGTGTATGCTTAAGGGTGAAAATAAATGACGTTTATAGTGAATGCCCCTATAAATTGTCTTATATTTACGATTTAGTTTTAATCCAAACTGTTTTAATGCGTGCTTAGTGAGCGAACATCAATAAAGATCACACAAAAGTGCGCACGCTCTCTCTCTCTCTCCCCCTCCCTCCCTACCATTAAGTAAATTGTGCATTGTTTTACTTACTTCTTTTTGACATATCCGACCTAACTACAAACTTTCCAGTGATGTCTGTGAGAAAGGGATATTCACTCGACAAGCTCGCGCATCTGCGCAGCCGTGCACTCAATCCACTCAGCGAGATTTGCTTACCAGCTGGCGCAAATCAGCTATACAGGCATTAATACTGAATGTTTTATATTCATTGCATACATATACTTCGTAGACATCTTTAATCTCTAATAACTCCATTCTGCTGTCTGTTGTCGGTGTTTTTTTGTCTGAATATGGCACTTATCACATGCTATGTGGTATCGGCGTTTGGTATCGGGGCATTTTAACGAGTACGAGTACAGGAGCTCAGTATCGGAAATTAGGTATCGGTATCGGTGCATCCCTATCTTAAATTCTTTTAAATGTATAAAGTTCCCAAAAACAAACAAACAAACAAAAAAGAATATTCGTTTAATACTTTGAGTTAAAAGGAGAGTTCACCCATAAATTAAAATTTACTAAAAGTGTACTCACCCTTTAGTCCATCCAAGATGTAGGTTTGCATGTTCATCAGAACAGATTAAAAAATTAAGCATGCAGTGAATGCGGGTGCCATCAAAATGAGAGTTCAAACAGCTGATGAAAGCATCACAATAATCCACAAGTAATCCAGTCAGAACCTGAATTTTTGAGGAATATTAAAGTTGAATATACATATAATACAACTGAATGTAATATAAGGGACAACTGGGCTAGTCATCACACTGTGAACTCAAGTAAATGATTTGGCTACAAAAAGTTAATAAACAAATCTACCGTTTTTGCTCAGGAGAAAAACAAAATGCAGTTCATTTAACATACCTTGACTAATAGTGGGGTATGTTGTCACACTATATGGAAAATCAGGCTTTTAAGAAATTATTTTTTTTAAATTTAAACAACATATAAAACTATTTTAGAGAACACAAGAATTTGACTCAAAACCTTATAATTACTGAGATACAGTCCTTGTGTCAACTAACACCAGTGTCCCTTGCTGGCAGTCAGAAGTAGATCACTGCTCGTCGCAGTCTAGCACAGAGAGTAAATTCACAGCTGAGTGAATACAGGCCAGACAATCTGTGCACTTCTGCTTGGATGACCATATAGATAATGTTACTTGTGCTTCTGGTCATAGCTTAGCAGCATTTAAAACAGAAAAACACAGGTAATTTATTTCACTGTATAGGAGGTGAAGCCCCTGTCAAATTTACATTACAAAGATGTAGTCATTCCGTGAGCTAAACATTAATGTACTTACCTTTAGCACTTTGTGTAGTTGTTACGTTTAAATAAGCTGTTTTATTCATGTGATACATTCCTAACATTTATTGTTCTGCTGAATATAATTTCCATGAATTTCTCTGCAGAGCGCAGTGACCTTACTTAAATCGAGGCTGTTGTATAAACAGTCCTGAGTATTTTAGTGGAAATTCAAATACAACAGCCATGTATTCTTCTCTTTTCTTTTTATATAGTTGATTTGCATCTCAAAACTCTGGCTGTGAATGTATAAAGGAAGTATTTTAAAATATGGAAATATCTTTAATGTTTAATGTTTTTTTTTGCTTCTTTCAAAAACCTCTGTGGTTTTCTTAGTTTTCTTAATTGTTACATTTATTTTTGACTATGCAGTGTGAACATTCGTGAGTGTACTTTTACTTTCAACCTGAATGTCATTTAAGATCTACAGAGTGTTAATCTCGTCAATCAAATTACTGACAATTAATCGTTATCAAAGATTTTCTTTTAATGAGAC